TTTTTTGGGGGGGGGGGGGGTCGCAGCTGTAGCTGCAGGAGTAGAAGGTGCACCCCTGATCTTTAGACTGTATTTTAGGATTGTCCCGATCCGATATTTGGATCGTATCGGCCGGCATGAGAAAATGCCAATCGAGACTCCAGATACATTTTTTTTTAAAGTCCGATCCCACCCGAGCATTAGCATTAGCATTAGCATTAGCATCTCCTAACCCACAGGTCTGTGTAAACTTTAGTTGTTATCAGAGTAAATCCCTGTTCAACATGAGTCTGACAACTAAGTAAGTAGAAAAAAAAAATCAACTTTAATACAAAAAGCTGGATCGGGACATCCCTACTGTATTTCTACATATTAAGATGATTTCTATAACCATAAAATAGTTATTGAGGGGTGAATTGATTCAGACGGAGCACTACTGAAGGCCTAGGTGTAAAATGCACGGCCCGCCACTGGTTTTCCACCATGGTGTGTAGGCACGCACATTCACAAGCCCACTCATATTTAAAATAAGAGGCCGGCTCTCAGAACCAGAGGTCAGTTTGCTGGGCTGCAGCATCCAGGTGTGTTAACAGAACGCCAAGGAGGAACGACGGCAGCTATGATCATAGAGGAGCAGCTGTGAGTGCCCATTAATGTGGGAAAGAGTTATAGGTCCGGCTCCAAACTATTTGGATTCCCTTGTTCTTCGGTTGGAAAAAAAAGGGGGGAAAAAAAGATTGATCTCAAATGGAAAACATTCTTGTCGGTTGTCCGTTTTCCAATGAGCAGACGTCCCAACACGTTAACCCCGAGGTCAGACGGCCAATGGTTTGGAGACTCGCAAACACAATGCCGTCTTCCAAGTGGATACCACCATGAGAACAAATGCAGCTTGAAGTCCCTTATGAGGAGTCAATATCATGTAAAACATGACAAAATCCTGGCCAGGCTGCATTATCAGAACTTTCTCATCATTTACAAAATCTTAAGGGAATAATGTGTCTTGTTGCTCAAGTCTGACAGTTTTCAAACTTGAATAATGGAGTTCCGCTCTTAGGTCTCTGTATTTTTCATCAGTGTGTCTTTATGATGTTCCAGCATGTTGTCGCCGAGTGTTCCCGATTAGCCATTTGCATGACACACCTCCTTTTCTTCAACCTGATGAACACTTGCCATATTCCATAATAATGGTTACATCATTTCAGCATGTCTTCTCATTTATGCCTGCAGGGTTCCCTCCCTACCAGGTCTCCTCAGAGGGTCTCCACCAGTCCTGTCGTCATGTGGTCCACTCGTGGGCCAATCAGAGCTTTGGAGCTCACCTCCACAACATGACCCTGACCAATGGGAGGCTGCGAGTGCCTCAGGACGGGCGGTACTACCTGTACTCACAGGTGACAACTCTATATTTCAGTTATTTTTTTAAACAAAGAAAAACCATTCCCACAAGTTGTTCAGTGGCAGCATAAAACTTATTCCAATTCTAATTTTTCCTCCAGGTGTACTTTCGTTATCCGTCCCCAGCAGCTGGCGATAGCGATCAGCGCAGCGTTAGTCACCAGCTGGTGCAGTGTGTCTACAAGAAAACCTTCTACAAAAGCCCCATCCAGGTAGAACCACTTTTATTTACCTTAACTATCCAATCCCATAAGACAAACTCTTTATCTTCATTGGACATTTTCTGTGCTCTCGTAGCTCTTGAAAGGAGTGGGAACCAAGTGCTGGGCTCCAGATGCAGAGTATGCCCTCCACTCAGTCTACCAGGGAGGACTATTCGAACTGAGGGCTGGTGATGAAGTCTTCGTCTCTGTCTCGTCTCCCACTATGGTGAACGCAGACGATTCCTCCAGCTACTTTGGTGCCTTCCGTTTGGACCTCTGAGAGAAAGGGATGGGAGAGGATACAACCGAGGGTGCAAGAGCTGGAGAAACCGACGGGATGGAGACTGCGATGGGGGCCTTTTGAATATCCATTGGTTGGAAAAATTCTGGGTCTGGATCTCGGATCTGTAAAGTTTCCATGGAGCGATACGTTGAAGGATGGACGTGGTTGTGGGTTTTCAAGATCAGAATGATAAATGTTGCAAGAAGATAGGTGAAAGGGAAACGAAAGAGTGGATTTTATCTTTTTCTGCTCTCCAATAATAGAAAAAAACTACCCATTAATAGCAAGATTTTACAAAAAGATGCACAATCCTGAATGTGAGAACCGATTTACAATCAATTCTCAAGGAAAGAATGTTTCTTTTGGAACAAAAGGACATTTTTTGAAAAGTTGTTCCTTTAGACAAGAGTCCCTGGGGAAAAAGATCATCCAGCCATCTGCACCCCAAATTGAGTGTCAGTGCAACTCCTCTGTTAAACTTTTTTGTGAGGAGCTATCAAACCCTTGGAATTCCAAACCAAAGAGTGTACGCAATGATCCTCTGCATTCACGGACTGTTGGACTTAGCAGAAGAAAATATAAAGATCAAACCAAAGCAAAAAATTAAGTGAAAGAATAAAGTCTCTTCCAAGATTACCTTGAAAGTACTGCACATATGTATGGCTGAAAAGGCCACTTAAGATGACAATGACCTGTGGTGATTTTCTGAACTAATTCATATATATTTTAGGTTGACTGGGCTTAAAACCACTCGGGCTAACTGCGGAGCATCTTCCTCTAACACTAGAACTGTGGATTTTATGCAAATACTATTCGTGGAGGATAAGGACTGTCTTACTGGACACTATAACAAGCTGTCGAAAGCAGGAGCTTTGTGAAGAAGAGACTGGGAGGAGAGGAGGAATAAAAACAGATGGGAGGGAGAGGTCTCATAAAGGCCAATGAGAATGAACCCTGCAGAGGAAAATAAAAGGACGTAGAGGCTAAGGGTGGCATGCAGCCTGACAAGTCCCCTTTCATTCACCCGTCTTCAGTTCTTTCTCCGTCTCAAACATAAGTAGATTTTTTTTTGCTGATCTTTCTCGTCTAACCTGTGAAGTTGCATTGCGTTTTATTTTTAGGAGCAGTGAAGCAGCAAACCAAAAACGCAACATAAATGAGAATCTGACGATGGAAACAGAACAATTGCACACACACGAAAAAAAAAAAAAGAGTTGTCATGGATGGAAGTTAACCGTTTCTTTGGAAGTTTAAAAGTTGTTGCTTGTTGGTTGAACCTTTTCCATTTAAATAGATTAAGGGAAATCCTACAAACATTATGACTGGATTTTAGACCTAATTTGAGCCACAAGGAAACGAAAATGCAATTTCTGAAGTCCACTGGAAAATAAAATGTATCTATAATTGTTGAATAAAAAAAAACACAAACTCTACTAAATGCCCCTTGCCTCCATCTTATATGATCAATTTGTAGTCCAAATAAAGCATTTTTCAAATACAAACTCGTTTTAATAAGTGACCCCTTTAGCTCCCCTTGGAAAGACCACCCACATAAACTAAACCCATTCAAGGTTGATGATCACTTTTTCTTATTTACTTTGCACTCTCTTAGGCAGCTGTTCACATACTTGCCCGTTTATTATGCCTGTAACTGAAGAATTTCACAAGAGTGAACACTTGCAAGCTTAAAATGTTGGAACAATAAAAGGCTGATATTTGGTTAATGTTATAATGGCAGGGAAAAGGAGCCTTTGCATTACAGAAAGTATCTGAGACCACTAAATCAAAGGAAACGCTCATATTTATCTCTTCACTACCTGTTGATTTGATATCTAAGGGAAATATATGTGCTATAATTAGAAATGTTATGAGTCATGGAGCTTAGGTTAGAACAAAGACAAGGATGGAAGTATGCTAACATATCGGAGGGCTTTGTTAACCTTGGGCAAGGATTGACGGGTTCATTAAACAGTTAAAGTGTTGCTAACCATGTAGTATGTTAACATAATAGACTAGCAGGAAATGAATGATCACTGCAACACACCGGTTGTGTGCAGGATGGTCATTAGCACATGGTAATGCCGCCATGTTCTTAGCCGCTTTGTGCTAATGCTTTCAGACAAGTATATTGTTGAGAAAATGAATGTATAATTCTAATTAAATGGTCGAGTAAACACCTGACTGGAGCAATGGGTGACCGCCTTCAGTAAAGGCTAGCTGGCACTGCCAGAAACCCAGCAAACATTTCCCACCTGCACAGGAATGCTCCACCACAAACCGGTGATCTCTTGAACTAATTTATGAAACTGTACATTGTATTGACCATATTTCTGTCCAAATTTGCATCACTAAGAGATCATTTGTCAGGAACATCATCCCTAGCACAGAGCCAGGCCAGCCAGTTCCTATTTGTTTCCAATGGGGCTTTCATATTTAACTTAACTTTTATCAAAGTGGTGACTTTTCTGTTTAATCTAATCAAGGAAAAAGCTTAACTAGTGCCTTCCTAGAAACGTTCAATGGTTCAGTCTTGTGTGTTAAAGTGAAATGTGGGAAACTTTTAAAGCCGGGTTTCAAAGTGTAGAGCTTTTCTTTCAATCATCAACCCTCAAGCCTCTTATTACGTGCCACCAATAAACTAGCATACTCAGTTAAAAAGCTAAATTAGCTGCCCGCATTTTTTCCTGCTCCATCAGTCATGAAACACATCTGATAAGCTAAACAAAAAGCTGACTGAATATGGCCGCCAGCCACCTAGAAATACTTATATATACCCCAAAACATGTGCAAACATTACAGCTGGAAATGAAACACACGTGTGCTGAAAATGTCCCTCAAATTATATCAACCACACACAGACCAGTGAACATTTAGGAAAGCGACCGGTTAAAGAAAAAAAAAAAAGGTTGCAGAGAAAGAAAGATTTGAAAGGCACAAGATATTTCTCCACATAACCCATGCACTGCCTTGCACGGAATCAACCCCTACATACTTTTCCCTCTGGTATGTGCGCATGTATGCACATTTAAGATACATACACATCACCTCACACTGCATCTAGGCAGGCCTGTGCTGTGCAGACACACACGTTATCTTGTCTAGTCACTTTCAGAAAAGAGACACAAACAAACTGACTTACACACTCATTAATCCATGCTGTCCAGCCTCCCTGTGCCGTCTGGTTGTTGTCAGTGGTCAGGCAGTGCGTGTGTGTGTGTGTTTGAAATTACAGTACATTTTTTCTTCTTTGTCATAGATGATTAGGTAAGGAGGTCAAACAAATGAAATGCATCCCTTTACCGTGGACTCCAAAAAAGGTTATGGTATCATCAAGGTCTTTTGGTAACGCTTTAAAATCATGTATATTTCTTCTGAAATCAATATGTTTAAGTTAAATTCCATTTTGTTGTTTACCATGTTAGCTGCTTGTCTTTTCTTTCAGCCCGTCTCATCATCCAAACAAAGCTTGCTCCCCTTCTGTGAACTTGACTCAAGTGTAGTTTTTTGTTTTGTTTTTATTTTTTGAAATCCAGGGTGATGATGATAATGCTACACCGCGTCTAATTGTATCAGCGCCAGCTGCAAAAACCCCCTTTGCCATGAATGTGTAAGAGCTTTGTTTGTACAGGACTGTTTCATACATAGTTGTGAACATGTGTAGCACAGTGTTGCTAAGAAAAATAAACAAATATCTGAACGTCCCCAGTGTATGTGAAACTTTTAAGCCTATTTTTGGCTATCGAGTGCCTGTTAAAAAAAGAGGAAAAAAAAGGAACGAATTCTGCTCCCAGTCTATGGTAAAGGGGATTGTATCGCCAACCAACTATAAGTGATCCTGATGCCAAAAAATATGGACCCATTGCCGTTAAAATTGATCAAATTGAAAAAGTTTGGAATGATAAATAAAAGCTTTTTGCAACACTTTCATTTTCTATACCTCTTATTGCTTGCAGGGTTGCGAGGGGATCTGAAGGAAGTTTAGAGTTCCTTGTCTGACAGTCTCCTACCACCATCTCAGAGTAAGGCCTCAGAGTGGGAGATTTTTCTCTGTTATCTTCGTTTCTGTTGGAGTGCAAACAAATATAAAAAAGGGAATTAGTATCTACGTCTGCATGCAAAGGTCTTCAAGACTTTCCAAACTATAATGGTAAATCAATTGATCCAAGTTCAACCTTGAAGGGTGCATTCAACAACAGTCACATGGAAAAGAGTTCAGAGTTGCAATAAAGAAAACACCTCTAACTGTTTAGCATGGTGGTGAAAGAATCATGCTTTGAAATTGTGATGCAGCGGGTGGGAATACTTTCCAGTCAACAACCGGTTCTGCATATAAAGGCAAAACCATCTGTTAAGAAGACGAAAGAAAAACTAGAAATAGGTGCCGTACGACTTCAACAAAATTCAAACGCTACCTCGTTAAGAGGGGAAAGCTCAATGTTTTCTAATGCCCCTTGGACTCCCAACAAGCATCATCAAAACCTCAAAGGAGACCTGGAAGACCATTAATCATATAATAATAGCAGAATCTTTTTGCTGAAATAATGATGCTAGGGAAAAGAAAAGCATCCCATTAAAGATGTTATCATCAAGCAACAGTTGAAATTATTTAACACCTGCGTAATATTAAATACATCAGCAGCTCCAGATCTACGAGTCACCTCTTTAAAGTCCCCAGATCACTGTAATGGATTCAGGATCATAAAATGTAAAAGGCAAAGGTTTAAAAGGTTACAAATACCTTGCGGCACGCATGTGGATTCAATTTGTGGTGTTCTCCAAGTGATTGAGTGAAATCTTGTATAATTCAGAAGTATAATTTAGTGATGGCAGTAATTACAACAAATATTTGAAATCTTAGGGCGTTCCAAGTCTGACCTTAAAAACGTTTTTTTTTTCCAATCAAATTCATCGTGTTATCATAGACTTGTAAGCTTCTTTTGACAATGGAATGTACAAATAGCTTCTCCCTTTGAGGCAGTGAGCGCGCTCCACAGTTTCTGGTAGCAGTAGGCGCACGAGAGGGGAGCAAATCTCCAAAGATCCATAACACATGTTGCAAGATTGCCAGCAGTTTGGTTAGATTTTTCTCCAAAGATCATTTTATTACATTTCATCACAGTCAGCTCAACTCGTGACTCCCGCTGGTTAGTTCATAACATTTTTGGACTTTTTCATGTTTTCCATGTGCTGCACCCTGTAGAGAATTATTGCTCATTTCACAGTACTGTCATAACATTTCACTATCTGTTAGATAACTAATAAATAAGCTGAGGGTTCTGCAGTTTTAGCACGTAATTAGTTTTATTCACTTTTAGAAGCCTGATTATCCAGATTAGTGAAACAATAACATGAATAACAAAAGATGTCTACGGCAATGAATAAAATACATAAATTACACTGCCTTTCATTTCTGAAGATTTAGGTGTGATAACACACAAAGAAGAAAACAAGTACATTGCAGTAAAGCTGAGGTTTGTAAAATTGCTACTAAACCAAATAAACTTCACTAAACCACTAAACTTCTCACTGTCAAGCAGGGTGGTGGAGGGCTGATGATTTGGGCTCGTTGTTTACTAAAGCATTCTAGAGTCACATGTGAGGCCATTTTATGTGACAACTAAAGCTTGGCTTACAAAATAGTGTGTTAGGAACAACTTCGAGTGAATCAAGGGTGTAATAATGGGTCACAATTAAATTAAATAATTAGTTCACTTTTGCTGAAGGTGGTTAAATAAGCTGTTGACCTATGGCATGCACTTTGTTAGTTATTCTTAAAGTCATACCCCCTCAGGTATCTCCCCCTCCAAATCCCTTTCCCACTGACACTTCACATCCACATGTTTAAAACGCATTTATTACAAGGGCCTGTCCATGCACCTTTGAATATTTGAAAAAGCCTGGGGGAGGAATGCCCCTGAGGCCATTGTATTTCCTTTTTCTTTTGCAAAATAGAGGAGCTGCAGACATGTATTGAAAAATGTTGAAGTTCTACTTTGTGATACTTGACAGGCCAATAATCTATCTTAACAGTTTCAGTAAGGACTTAATCTTTCGGTGCAGGTGCAACCAGCTGAGTGAAACAGAGATATCTTAAGTATCATTCATTCAAAATGTGTCTCTGACACATGCATTGGATCAGCAGGTGTTGCTTCTTTTCGCTGAGTTGGTATTAAACCTTAGAAAATAAGTGCCGTCATTTGGATTATCAAGTCAAAATCCAGTCAGTAAATTCCATAATAGAAACACACAAAATAAATAGTCCAACCCCGTGCTGTTTAATGGGGAAGTTATAACAAAAACAAAGCACAGATGTGGTTTTAGATAACATTTTCACTGCTTCAAATAAAAATAAAAAAGGCCAACTATCAGTCTGAGACTTTGTCCTTCACGCCCTGTGTACTGGATCTGAAGAAAACATACTGAGCAGCCACCCCAGCGAGACACAGACTGCATGTTAATCAGCAATGAGACCCATTTCCAAATGATCCCCTTTAAAAGGCAGCGACTCTTGAATGGCTCTTAAACATTGCTTGCTGATCCCTTTCAGTTTGAAACAATAGCCAACAAAAAATGTCTCTTACTTTAGGCACATGGTTACGTATGTATGATATGTTAAAGATGCTGGGGAGGATGCAGCTGGGGCTCAAAGGTCGGTTTTGCTTGAGTCCGGCAGTTTTGTTTAGTTTTTTCTCAAGCTGCAAATTTCCAATTCATTCTCGCCAAGACATACTAATGAACACGTTGACTGCCCCTTTTTTTTTAGAGCATATCTGTGTCGCCAACTTTAAGAGATGAGGTCTTTCGTTTCTGAGACCCAAGTTCCTACTTTCAGTCCTTAAACTTCATTAAATTTGAACTCAATCAGGATATGCTGCCCTGGGCTGTTGGCAAGTCTGTTATTCATTCTTTGTTAGTTCAGTGATACTCTTTCGACAAAATAGTCCTTGGAAAGCTCCTCCAGGTGCAAATAAACCATTTTTCCTCCTCGTTTCCACATCCCAGCTCCAAACTACATCTGCGTTTCATTAAATAATTGGGTGTTTGCTAGGATCCTAAAAAGATTGAATTCAATAGGAGAAGTGGGTTGTGACTTTTGAAATCCATCCTCACAATGCCTGGGTCCTAACAAGTTGGCTGTGACATCATGTTGCAGGCATTAAGATGAATCAACATGTGGACCCATGAAGACCAGATTACAGGCATGGCTCCATTATAAGAGGTCCACGTTGGCAGTTACTCTCCCAGCATGACAAGAGGAAGGGGAAAAAGGAAAACATTTATAGCAGTTGGCACATTTATCAAATGTGGCAGCTGATGAGGCTAAATATGATCCAGGCCTCTGGAACTTTTTATCTAATGGTGAGTTTGAGGAAAACACTCAACCTCTCTGGGTGAGTCGCAAACACCCAGGGCTTAAATGAAAGCCTGATGCTGTAAAGAGTGAAGGGTCAAATGTTTGAATCCATTTCATGCAGAAAAACATCAACTCAGAGCCCACATATAAATAAATGAATACTTATTTGTCTACAAGTGAGAGAAGTTTCCACCTTTATTTTCATACCTTATGGCACACCTCACTATGAATGAATCATTTTCTGATATGGGGGATTCTACATGGTAAATCGGAGTTTGTTTTGCAGGTTTGGAGTGATTTTGGCCACATTTGCTTTTCATCTGCATTCTGCTCCTCTATAGAGATTTTGGTGAAGGGAAGATAGAGAAGACAAATAAATAAATAAATGAAAAATTAAGATAGAATACCCAACATCTGCTTTGACAAATTGCTACTAAAACAACTTCTCTTCATTTGGGAGCCTTCTTCCCCAGGCTCTCCTACGTGCAGATGGTCTCTCAAGATTTCAAAAGAACAAATGTGCTTTTAATCAGTTTGTCTGGTTAAAAGGTTAATCCAGCACGGAGGAGCACCTGCTCCGCCTTTCCATTCAAGAACTGTATTACCTAGGGAAACCCGGTAATTTGTGGTTAGCGTAGTCTGTCAGTATTTCTGACCCTTTAAGAATTTACAACCTCTGCATGCTGTCAAGAGAAAGAAAAAAATCCAGCCAAAATTGCTAGTGAAGAAATAATGAGACTCCTGATAAAGGCTAAATGCGTAACAGGGCTTGGCGTTTCATAGAATGTTTTATTGTCATCAACTGCAGGCTAGAGAAGATAAATTAAATCAAATTATAACCGTTTAGCAGTTCCATCTCCTTACAGTGGAAGTATGTGTGTAAAAGATATTGATAACTCATGAGTTAACAGAAATGACGCTCCTACATTCTGCACATCTTAATTTAAAGATTTAAAATTGTGGTCAGGACAGTGGACTGATATTAGAGATTCCAAATTTAAAGCTCTGCTCGACTGCTCCTTTTTGCCAGGAATTTAATGATTGCCACACCAAAAATAAATAAATAAAATAAAATCTGCATCCATCCTCGAGCCGTTTACCAGTTGGATACCCGATAAGTGGCAGCACACACGTGTTAATGGCTCCAACCAAGTTCTTCTGAAGCAGCTGACTCTGGAATACCTGCTTTCTCTTTGTAGGGTCTTTGTTGTGGCTGCCTTATTCCCGGTTCTTCCATGTTTCCTTCTGGTAATTCACCCTCTTTATATGTATTCATCTCACTTCCCTTTATCACTATTTTACTCCATAAATCAGGTATGAGGACCCTGTGTCCTTGCTGAGTATTCTGTTGAGCGTATCCGGGTTATCCATGTGGGAGAGGGAGATAATGATTTGTCTACTTCAGAACAGACACCCAGAGGCACTGGAATGTAGTAACGTCCTAAAGATTTAGTAACTGTTTGGTTACTACACATTTAAGCTAATTTCTGTAGGAAGGAATACCTTGTGCTTCCATATTTTGTGTTCACAGGGGTCAGAGCATCAGCTCTAAAATGCAG